AATTTTGCGAGGTAAATTACTTGCTTCGTAAAAAAAAAAAAAATGGCGTTCTGTTTGATTTCTACTCGTTTTCGTAACCGACATGTTTTAGGAACTGTTTCCTTCTAGCTTCATCGCAAATGCTCTTATCTGTTTTACATATATAATTTTTTTTCATTTTTCATGAGTTTTCTAGTGAATTATTAGTGTTGGTATCGGCTACAGAATGGTGGGTGATGATCACGATTCAGAAATTCTGGGGTATAGCTGCCTGTATAAGTGCTTTCATAGTTCAAATTTCAACAGTTTTTCAAAAAGCTGGTGCTCTTTTAGCTATTATTATTATTATTTTGTTTATTTATTTATTTTTTTCAATCTGTTCTGAAAACTTGATAGGATGGAGGTTGAATTTGACACGATGGTTGTTATTGACACTGTCCCATTGGAAAGCCCGATTGCTGAATCCCGGCTTCTGAATCTTGACTCGAACACTGATATATTGGATGGGTGTGAATCTGCTCGACGATTGGGATATGGGTTGGAAGATAGCTGCGAAGAGCAAGTGGTGCTTGATAGTGAAGATGAAGGAGGTGACCGAAATGGCTCTGTTGGTGTGGAAGATTATTGCGTAAAACGAGTGGTGCTTGATAGTGACGATGAAGGAGGAGGTGACCAAAATGAGGTCGTTGTGAGCGGGTGTTTTTCGGGAAACATGAAACTTTCAAGCATGGGCGAGATAGGTTCGCAGAGAAGGCGGCAAGTAAGGAAGGGTAAGATTCTGAAACGTGACTGGTTTATAAATTGAAGGTCTTGAAGCCGGATTATATTTTGCCTGTCCGTGTCCCCATTTTCATTATGTGGCAGAAAAAAGGATTTTAAGCCACTAATTTCTGTATTTTCAAGAAGTTTTTTTTCCTTAGCTAGTTATCTTACTTCTGAAGTTATGAAAAGGATTGATATTCCCTTTGCTAAACGTGTTTGCAAAACTAAATAAATTCGTCCTCATGTCGGCATCTGCTTGCATTTGTGATGGTAAGATGGCTGAATGAAAATGCAACACATGAGCGCAAAGATATTGGACTTGTGTAAAATGTAAATTCTTAAGTGTCGAGTGTAATTTCTCGATGTCTGACGATGCCCTTTTTTTGTTTTAATGATGTCTCAAATTTTTTTATCTCGAGTCTTATACTCGTTTAGAAATATTGATTTATCATTTGATTAGATGATGGAAATATTGGTATGTTTTGGTAATCATGCATTTTATTTTTTCTTATAGCTGACCGCTTATAATTTGTCCAACTTAGTCCAGTAATTCTCTCATTGCACTGTAGGTTATTTTCGGAGGCTGGACAAAAAATTCAGGAAGCGCGTGTTTCTTCATATTGATTCAGCTAGTAATGATGTGGGTGATGAAGAAAGTAACATTGGGAGGACTTGTCTTTACAGTAAAAATAAATTTCTTGAGCATCTTGGTGTCATGGACAATGTGCTCTCAACATCAGCCGATGAGAGACCAGTTCCCACCAATACGAAGGAAGTTCTTTTTGACACTCATTGCCAGAACTCCGCAAATAAATGTTCCGTGGAGGATTCACATGATGAGAGAAAATCGTCTTCACATGACTCTAATCCCACGAATACAGGAGGAGAGGCAAATGAACGCACACAGTTTAGTGAATCAGAAGATAAGGCTCTGGGATTTGTGGATCACTACCTCTCAGTTAGTGATTTGGGCTCTTATAAAGACATGAAAACTATACAGACTAAAAGGTTAATTTCACCCCCCTCTTTGAGGTCAAAGGGGTCTCAATGTTTGGCAAGGAGAGTTGACCTTGCACGTAATGCCAGCAATTTCATGACTTTTGACTGGACTGAGACTCATACCGACACGGATGAATACACTACCCTTGAAAAGAACGTGGATCCAGTCTTTGGGTTCGGAGGTAAGAAATCTAAATGTCTGTCTTCTTTTCAAGAACCTGACAATTTTAACTTGCGAAACGAGACATTAGGCCTCCACTTGGAGGAGAAATTGGCCGGAAATTTAGCTAGTACCGATGATTCGAATACAAATTTACTGGACTCCAGTGATATTGTGAAAGTGGGGTCAAATTCTGGTTTTTCCACTGCATATGATTCAGCTGAGTTTGGAAAACAGTTTGATGTGGGCCCACTGAGGCAGAACACGAAAGGAGGTGATTTTCCGGGGCTTACACCAGAAATGTTGGATATTGGGCTGGACACTCAAATTGCTGCAGAAGCTATGGGAGAATTAATTCTAGCAGCTCCTCCCATTTTTGACCCGTGTCTCGCTTTTCAAGTTTCAGAGAGCACCTCTTCGGACTCTTACCCTGTAACTGAGAAGGGTAGACAAAAAAATGTTGCCAATCATGAGGATGCCTTTGTTGGTTGGAGATGCAAAAAGAAACGCTCGAGGTGCATAATGATTTCGACAGTTGGGAACAAGGATGTAACTTGTTCTGCTGTAAAACGATCTGAGAAGCAGAGGGGGCTTGTTGATCTTTTACCAGTAAACATGAACATTGTGCCTGAGAATAGCAAGTGTGAAGAGCCTATTAGGGTCCCCATGAAGGAGTCTCCAAGAATTCATCTTGTGTATAAAAGAAGATCAAAGGAGACTGCTGATCAATTAAAGTCTGATTCTCCTGTAAAACGAATGAAGATGGATAGGTTTCATGATGATGTGTGCAAAATAGGAATCAAAGATTCATATTCTAGAGTGAAAACTGAAAGATCAAAAAGTGAAGAAAATATTGATCTTTATGCAGCTGATTGTACTCTGTCTCTGTCAAAGTTGAATCCATGGATCTATCCTAAAGGGAAAAGGTCACGTCCATTGAATGTAAGTAACCACTGCTCTCCATTTTCAACAGTCAAGAATAATGCAGAAAAATACCCTACAGTACACGATGGTACACAGAAAAGAGTAGCTACTCTTTTTGTTTACAGAAGGAGAAGAAGAGTTTCACTAGAGCAAGAACACATAGGAACTGCTATAGAAGTGGCTGGTAATTTGAGCCCTTTGGTTAACCATGATGCGTATACCGAGAAACAAGGACAAATTCCTATCGAACTTGATACAACCAGTCCAGCAAAGCAACATACAAATTTTGACGATGCAAAATGTTCCTTTGTTAATGCTTCGAGTGTAATGAAGTCACTCGTGTTACCATCAAATATGCATTCTCCTTTGCAAGTACTAGACGGTAGTGAAAAGTGCAAACGACAGCTCAACCACCTCTCAAAGTCTCCCATAATGAAAGAGCTTTCTAGATTGGGTTACCCAGAATCACTACCAGATTTTATGCCGAAAGACTTAAGAAGAAGAAGAGCTACGAAAACGGTTTGCATCTTGTTCAGCCAGAACTTGGAGACAAGTGTACTCAAGCAGCAGAAAAAGGTACCATTATTGAATTACTTCAATCCACTATTACAGTCGGTAATACTTTTTATCTTTATTATTTATAAAATATTTGTGGCAGATCATGGCACGATTGGGATTTCTGGTTGCATCTAGTTGCTCGGACGCCACACATTTTGTGACCGATAGATTTGTGAGGACAAAGAATATGTTAGAAGCCATTGCCCTTGGCAGACATGTGGTGACCCACTTATGGCTCGAGGCCTGTGAACAAGCCGGCTATGTGGTCGATGAAAGGAGTTACGTATTGAGGGATGGGAAAAAGGAAAAAGAAATTGGGTTCAACATGCTTGTTTCGCTCAGCCGCGCCAAACAACATCCACTCTTAAAGGTGATGATGCATTTTCTACATTTGAACAGAAGCTTTATGAAAAAATTGTACCTTAAGAGTTATTTCTGTTTTGCGACAGGGTCGAAGAGTTTTTATCACGCCTAATGTGAAGCCCGATGTAGATGCAGTAAGTGGTTTAGTCGAGGCGGTTGGGGGACAGGTATGTAAATGCCGATTACTTTGACTTTTAGTTAAATCCTAAGCTACTTCATTATAGTTAGGACTTATTAATGACAGTGGTAAATATAATCTTCTAAAGTTCAATTTGTTTTTAGTTGAAGAGTATTGAATTTTCCAGTTAAAAAAAAAAATCATGGAATTTTTTGCTCAGGTTGTCCAAAGCATAACGAACCCAAGAGTGAAGGATAAGTTGATTCCTGAAGATCTGTTGGTTATCTCATGTGAAGAAGATCATACAACTTGCCTTCCATTTCTTGAGGAAGGTACATACATTTCTATCTCCGACTATTTTTCTTCTTCTTCTTCTTATTATTATTATTAAGTTTATTTATTTTCTGAAATTGGGGATTTGTTTCGGGACATTAACAGCAAATGATGTGACGACATTTCTCAATTTTTTATCCGCAGAGGTTTCGGTCTATAGCTCAGAACTTTTGCTAAATGGGATTGTGACTCAAAAACTGGAATACAGAAGGTGAGTAAATTAGGAAAATGAGGTCTCTTGAAGTCGATAAATTTGCATGAAAAAGTAGACATCTTTACTTGTGACTTCTTTTGAAAATTTTCATTGTCCATAGCATGCATACATCACTGATCACACCACATAGGGGCTTCAAATTTAGTACTGATTTGAAAAATGATAATCTATGACTAAGAACATGTTCTGGTTGGAAGAAACATAATTGAGTGGTCAAGAATGTAAAGTCTTGAGCCAGAGCTGATTTGGTGTTACACATTTTTTTTTTTGACTTATAGAAATTTAAACGAACCTAATGATACTTTCAAATTGTAAAGGACAGGCAAATACCAATAGGGTGTTTGTAATTTTGGAAGATTAGTCTGTTTTTTTTCTTTTTTCTTTTTTTTATTTTTTTCGTTTCTGATCAAACAAGACGAGCTGCTCCTGAGCTCAGCTTGGCTCTCATTAAGGCTCAAGCTTGCAACTGAGCCGAGCTCGAGCTCGCTTAAAAAGCTCGCTGTGAGTGGGAGTAGAGACCGTTTCTCTAAAAGAAATGAAACTCTTTTCTTTAAGGTTATGAGCGCGTTTATAGCTTGTTAAGTTTCTCAAACTAATGGCTTTTCTGTTTTTCTATATGGCACACTAAGGGTGCTAACGGATCAAAAACCAGTTTTGACCGATCGGGTAATTTTTTCACTCTTTAACTCAAAATTCAACTCAAATTTAATCTAACCCAATAAATAAAACTATTCAATCATTCTCACACATGGCGTCAACTTTAATAAACTATTCATTCGCTCACATTTTTAACTACCTATCATTTTCAATAAAAATCGGTTTTTGATTCGCTACCAATCGCGACCCAGCATACTGCTCCTTGAAGTTTATGGTATCCTCTTTCGACTCCTGAGCCTTTCTTTCTACAGTTATCAGCTTTTTGAAGATTTTGCCAAAAGAAATACGGGCAGCCGATAACACTATATGGCCTGTGCAAGTGCAACACTGCGACTAGGGATGTCAATGGGCCAAATCGGGCAGGTATCTCT